GAAAATCTACTATTCCTATAATTCATCCGCTTATTTCTTATTCGTCTATATTCCGACTAGGCAGCGGTGCATGACTGATGTGTGCTCAACCGCCTTGCCCACTGTCGGATACAGTAATCGCACAGTGGGGTTTTGACGCGATCAGTACTTCCCTTCTTTCACTGGTCGTTCGATGACCTCACATATGCTTTTTGTCATATTGTATTGTTATATCGATTGAGACGGAGACGGTGTTTGGAATGGAATAGTTTCTTTGTTGTCTGTGTTTAACACGAATGTATGTATTTCATGATATCAGGTTTATGTTTAGGTGGTGGCATTTGCACCTGCATGTGGTTGTCATGGGATACATGAACAAGCAATGAAACATACAGATTGAACCGATTCGTTAGAATACGATGATAGGCTAATGAGTCGTGTAATTTTATCCCAATAGGCTCTCGGTGCACTTATATTTAATGCTCCTCATTGGACAGTCGACTGAGCAGTAGTTGAATTTATGAAACTGAGCCGCAACTTCATTTTCGTTGATGTATAATCATTATATCGACTACGCAGTACGGCTAAATCCGGCTTTGGTCGCAGTTTTCTAATGTGACCAAGAAGATGTCGACATGACTTAGTCCCAACGGGCTTCCTATGGTTACACCATCCACCTGTTAATAGATATATTTTTTGTAGACGAACTTATGTGGTGAAAATGTAAGTTCAACAAGGTGTTCACATCTTTCGCAAGAAGTCCTAATTCTTTGGCATATATCCTCACTTCACTCACGAATTCTGCAATTGGCACCTCAGCGAACAATCAATTAATATCCGAGTTATGAAAACGTAGTGGACGTTTTAACTGAAATGTCTTTTGGTCACTTAGGCGCTAGTTGGAGTAATGATGTCAGCCAACTTTTGCGTGAGATTGTGTTTAGGAAATTTATCATCGACAGGATTGGTTGTAACCAGATTTCCGGTTCTCCCCTTCCAACAACATCCCCCGCACCCACCATCTTGATTTTAACAGTCCAATTTCATACGCCAATGTCAATTTCCCCCCGTGTTCGCTACTGTTTTGTGTTTGCACTTTGCTATCTATAAATGTGCTACTCATGAGTAGTTGCGCCTATAAGCTGAAAGTCTAACAAACAGAAGAATAGTCCATTCTGTTTTTGTTGGTTTTCGCCAACATTCTTGTTCCTAATCTGATAGATGATTCCAAAAAGTGTGTTTAGATGCAATTTATATCGAATGGGAAGCATTTTGGTTGTGCCACGTTGCATTATTTTGCTCTTTAGGCGGTTTTTCTACGTCTTTCTTCCCTTCTCCATACAGAACACAGTCGAAATACCCTCGGTTCGAACAATTTATTGGCAATTTTTTATAACAACTATCTCCAGACGATTGATATTTTTGATAATAATGATTTTCATCGTCTGTTCAATTGTAATCGTCACGTAAATAGACTTGGCCCATCTCGGATAATACGACATAACATGTGAAGCGGCATAAAAAAATGTTCTAAGACAATCGGTTTTTGTCAGAAAATTTATTTCGTATGTATTTCTGTAGTTTCTCTACATTTACGGCGGTGGAAAACTCGATTTTGCATGAATGCTTTTCAGAAGGGCAACACAACCATGCGAACTGGTCATTTGTTATCAATTATTCTGATTCATCAATATTCTGAAGTATACCCTATTGTACATCGGCTAGCCAGAGCCACGTTATATTGGTTTATCTTTGATTGACACCCTTAGGAGGTCACTGGATCTTTCCTTATTTTTCCTGTTAGAATTGGATTCATCACCGTAGCTAAATGCTACGTCAATTTTCCTTCTTTCCGATTTGTGCTGTAGATCTACAATGAACTGAACCTCCCATTACATGTGTGCATTTTGGCTGCGGATGTCTTACCAACATGCTTTGGGTTCACATCCGATTGTCAACGGTCATGGTTCAGGTTCGTGCTTCCTTTTGATTCTTATAAATCTGAAAACAAGTTAAAAATAAAAGGCCCGTGCCAATACCGATCAGTTCTTTATCATTTAATCCTATTTATTCAATTTAGAGACATACAGTTTATGTTTCAAACTTGTTCGCTTGTTCCTCCCTGTTCACCAGATCAGCGTAAGATGAACAGTTCTTTCATTCTGCATACCATTCCTATTTCGTTGACTGAATTCACTAACCTACGCACACACGTGCCCGACATCGATTTTCTAGATAGCACAGTGCCCAATTATTCAATAGTTGGTGTTTTACATTGCCCTATATGTTCTATTTTTACTTTTTCTATTATTTTTAGCGGTGCGCAATAGACTGCTGTTTAGAACAGCCACATTAACTCGTCTAACATCAATAATCATAAATCTAGAGAGAGAGCTGCATTCTACCTATTGCTTCTCCAGATCGTAGACAGGATAATGGACACCACACCTAAGTGGCTGCTGCAAATAAGGCCGGTTGAGGTGCATTAACTAAGCGACTGCGGGCGAGTAGCGTGGACAGATGTGATGGGTTTTCGAATATTACGCATCATCTCTATCATAAGCGAAATTGTTTTCCATAGGATTTGAGTACCTCCAGTCATTGGTTTCCAATCTGTCTGTAATGACCCTGCTGCTTTGCTCTTCAGTGTTCAAAGGTGCTGCCTCGAGTAGTAAGGTAACTCCTTATGTGATCCACTACTTGAAGTCCTTAAGAATATGTTGCTGGTTCCCATAAATCAATGGTAGGTATCTGTGGCTATTTTGTTCGCCCTTTTGACTATTCGTCACATAATAACGAGGTTGGAAGAAATCAGCCCGCTTCTAGACAGCTTCACTGCCTTTCGGTCTAACAACACCCACCCAGTGGCATCCGTATATTTTCCTTCACTCTAGATCCTAAACGTGGAATTGTTGGCTCCTTCTGGTCATGGGGTTTAATCCTTTCACTTTATGAACCAAAAGTTATCTACGACCCTTCTTAGTGTCATTAAAAACTAAATCACAGTTTTGCAGTTTCATTCTTGTGAGTTTATATATCTAAGTAAATCGCTTACGCAATTCCTGGGCCTTAAAGATGAATCTAAATTATTCCTATTCCGCTATACTTTGCTTACACCAGTTTAGCTTCATACGGCTACGGTTATCCGCACACATATACCACGTGCAGAACAGCACCGATTCATTTTCAAGGGCTCTAATCCTAAGCATTGGTAGCTACTCAATGTGGTCTTTGAGTCACGGTCAGATTTGATCGCAAAGGCGATATCATCATTTGTTATTTCGGCTTTGGGTCGTCAGAGATTGTTAGGTAAAAAGACTATTTTTACCTAAAACTGACTTTTTCGAGTATCTGCAATTCGGAACATCTCTAATCAATACTAATGTTGCGGAGAATAATCAATCATACCGCATCATACGGAGACATTCACTCCGTCCGTCCCATCCATGACTTATGATCGATTGAACTTTGCTAACTGTGTACTTGATTGGCATAATCTTTTTCTTGCATTAATCGATGCTATTTTGGGTCACATATAAGCGTTAGAGTAAAACTCGTAAATCAACGTGCTTCCTGTGTGTCAAGTACACGTTTGCTGTGCACTAACTGTGTTCTTGCTTACGTAGCTGGGAGAAGGCTACTAGTGCTCGTGGCGTCCAATCTGTGCTGTGATCATACTCGTGAGGCTAGACGAATAGTGTGGCCGTTGAGTGGGTACATTGTGATCAAACGAGATCGGGACACAACAGAGATCACGGTCAGATCGTTGTGAGTCAAGGAAACATCCTTATCATTCTGGTTCCATGCAGCGTTCTAACTCAGACTCATCAACCTATCCTCGAGATATTGCGTAAACAATAAGAATCAAACTCCTAATTTTACGAAGATACTTGACCATGGATATTGCTAAAATTACTCCCTTATCATGGTAACCATAGTTTTCATGTTCTCCTTTACCCTGATTAATTCGTATTATCACAGATTCGCTTGAAGGCTTTTATCCTTCCTATCGGTTCTCGGTAGATACAAACTGAGTGGGTTGGAATATCTGGTGTTTTGATAACATCTCTGTTTTTTGCGCTGTTTGATTTTGATCCCCATAACGTTATTTATTATACCTCAATGGGTTATGCTGTTTGAACCTACCATAAAAGAGGCCTCTCGCTGTTGTAAATATCAGGGATTTAGTCATATACTTAAGGAAGGAAATGTGAACTGATATACTTCTCACGACTTTGTTGGGTCTCATCAGCAATGCTCAGCCATCAAGCCGGTTAATCAGTCGAACCCGGGCTCTTGCAGGTAGACTGAAAAAGCAGCATCCATTGGACTACCACGCAGCAGGTCAAACTTTTTCATTCTGTATACAACACACGACACAACCTATTTTGATAAGCCATTAGTAAGTATCTCACCTCGCGCATCTTAATACTAGTTTCCAGAGTCATGACTTGGTCGAAAACATCTCGAAGTCGTACCCTGCTCCTTTCTGTGCTATGCACAGTATGATCTTTATTCGTTCTTCCTTCATTGATGTTTGCACAAGATTCGGGGTCATGCCTGAAACAGTCAGGTTGTCAACGTGACAAGTAATGGATGAAGAGACAAATAAAAGTAACTGTCTAAAAATTTCCTGTTTCCCCTCAGGGTTATCTTGTGATCTGTGTTATCTGGTGATCACGGGCACTGGTAAACAGAGTTCACTTACCTAGATCTCGCCCCACGACAGTGGTAACGTGTTCTGCTTTTACTCTACCTCCCACAGGTCTTCTCGTGCGGTTTGGACCAGACTCTTTCAGAATTGTTTCTTACCGCTCATCTGTTGGATTTGGCTGCTCATCCGTGTTTGTCTTTGTTTCCTGTGGACCGGGTTGCAACGAATCCAGACCTTGAGTGCTCAGTTCTATCCACAGCCTAAGCCACCCACACCTTGCTGTTTGGTGCCAAAGAGTTCACTCACACCGGACGGATTTGAATGGTCTATGCAACACAATTTTCTGGCTCAAATATTGCTACTACAGGTTTTGTTCGGTTGTCTGGTGAAAACGGACTGCGAACAGTCAACCCGTACGGAAGCTGTGCGTATCATCCTGTTGAGTGAAGAAATGCACCGGTGAGCAGCTAATCAGAGTTTTTTTATTTTATCGTTCTGGGATAGTAACATACCTTTGGAGGGTTTCTGGTGTGCAACTGTTATCCCATCGAATATTCCAAACAATCGGTGAGTATAGAGCAGTGATCGAAATAAATGTTGATTTGACTTTCCACTGGAAGTTCTAAATTGTTTACCTTCATAAGGTAGTCTGCATCCAGCAGAAAAAGAGGACTAGATAGCACATACAAATTTTATTGTATTCAATCATCCCACATTATCGGTAAACAGCTTCATTGTTTGGCGGCAACACCTATCTTACTTACTTTTGAAATTCCAGTCAAATAAATCAGGTAAACAGTGCACAAAGGTAGAGTAAAGTGTATTGGCTTGAGAAAAAGGTGACAACAGTAGGACGAGGCGAATTGTCACTTTCGTAGTATCCGGAAACTAGCCGAATTAGTTTTCAGACGTGTGTGTGTCATAGACAATAATGCTCACTGAACGAAGCATTTCAGTGAATTTTCCGAGGTAGGGCTAACAAGAAAACCATGCCGTGTGTATGTGAGGGAAAGATGTATCTTAAATGTTAAAAAAGAATAATTTGTAATTAGGACTTCATTGTTTTGACCCCTATTTTGATATTTCGGATTGCTTCGCTGCTTGACGCCCTGCGAATTCACTAGCTCTTGGGTTTTTTGACAGGTTTTACTATTTCGGTTATCAAAATAAAAAAATCTTTAGTACTGGTCAGTTGTGTAAGTTGCTACCTTGTGAACTGTGTTTCACATTGATCGGTGTCTCGTCTTACTCCTTCCCCGTTTGGTTAAAGCCGGTGAGAAATTATCCTATGCAGTAACCACAACACCACCTGAGTGGAAGTTTGGTTTGGCTGTATGGCATGCTTCCTCCCTACCAACCCTGAATTTCATACGCAACTTGATGAGCGCAACACTGCGTCTTGTTTAAGGCTGTCATATTTTTTTGCGCCTACCTGTCCCTCATTCTAGCTACGCATCAGATTCCTAGTAGTGGAGTGCCATTTCCCGCTCTAGTAAAATTTATTCAACTGCGTGTAGCAGGTGGAAAATCAATCTCGCGTTTCAGATTATTTCCAAAGTTCATCATTTGCTACAATGACTTGTATCTGTCGAAGAATGAATATGCAAATAAAACGGCAGCGAATTGAAAATCGTCCTAGTCGTTTCACTATGAAGATTTTGATGCTATTCGTACGCTTCCAATGGTCTCTCTCTTGTGGGACACATTCATTAACCCATTCAAATCGCCTAGCTAGTACACTTTTACTCGTTTCTTGTCGAAACGGCAATGACTGCTGACCATGCCTTGGCTGTTCAGTATTGCAATCGAAATTCAATGCCGTCGTATTCTGACCTACTGGTTTCTATTATTTGCTGTCAATGTAATGCGTAGTCCATTGTCTTATTCAGTTAGCCTTTTTCACTTCTTCGATTAAAGTGATTGATAGAATTGACTCGGTTTACCATATACCGGATGGTTCATACAAAACTATTGTGTTGGGTCTAGCCGTACGAATGACACGAGCGACTCTTGCTTAAACCCCAACGACAACGCGGAGAGAGAACACAGGTTGAGACAACAGTCAGCGTGCATTCCTTGATTCGATATCGATACGCAAAACAGAACTAATGGTGCATACGAGAATGGCGCATTGACGCACCAATCAGATTGTGTCCTTGACATATCGATTGATCGATTGGACAAAACATTGGCTGACACGTTCTGTGATCATCCAATCAGGTTCAGCCTGTCTGGAGCGTTGGGAGCGTGCGTGTGGCCTGACTCGGAGGCGTGCGCGATCGGACGGGTTGCTTAAGCTCTGTCCTAACAAAAACTTTCAAAGCGCCACTGATAGCTAAGAAGAAGATGACCTCAAGTTTATCTCCGACGTGCTCAGAAGCAATGGCTGACCCGACCGCTTCATTCAACGAAATTTGAGGGAACAGGTACCAAAGTACACAATGATAGGGCGAACAAAGAGGGACTTGTTCATTAGTCTTCCTTTTAAGCGTGAAGCTGCCTCTGAAGCCGTCATAAAGAGACTGAAAGGAGCGGTAAAAGCCATATTCAACGCCGCGCAAATACGCTGCCTTTTCAAAAGTTCGCCACTGGTAAGCATTCGGAATAAAGATAAACTACCGATTTTGACCGCTTCGATGATTGTTTACTCGTTCAGATGCGTTTGTGATGCACTCTACGTCGGGCGTACGGCACGGCAGTTACTGTCTGTATGAAAGAACACCATCCGCACTGGCCGAGTCGAGGTGATTCCGGAACTATCACAAGTGCGATTCTCCCTCACTTGGTAGACACTGACCGTCTTGTTAACCCAAGTGAACCATTTCGTATTATTTATCAGGTCCCCCGAACCGGTCCAAATACGTTAGGTTAAGTACATTTACCACAGCGGAGGCCATCTGTATCAAGCATTTGACCCCCGAACTATGTGCCCAGAAGCGTCTTATCCAAGCTCTCCGTCTCCCCTTGGTTCACGAACCCACCCACCCCCCTGTCCGCACACACAAATACCTTCACACAACAGCACAGATCCCTCAGAACTGGGTCGCACGACCGTCGTGAAATAACTGAAAACTCCGGAAGCACAGATCTGAGAATGCGATGTGCAAAATNCACACGCAGACAGGCATACACGAAGTGAATGGTTCCTCACATTTTATTGTTCTCCTCCCAATCCCCAGTTTTTTCCCCATATAAACTGTAATGGTATGATGTTATGAGTTATTGAAAACAATAGTTCGCCTGAAATTGTGTTCTAAACTAATTCCCCCTTCCGTTCATAATTAGAGCCAACTTGCCCACTTTGGACGCGTCCATCCACTCATTCCCCAGGCAGTTCACGCATATCCCGACCGATTTGATGACCTGGTTGGATCAGTATCGATGGTCGAAACTATTTCAACTGCTCTATCTGTTTGAATTGCAACGTCGCTTAACTGCTTGGCATGTTTCCATTCAACCTGAAACCGGTCGCATCCCGATCGTATGTGCCTGTTCTCAGGGTAGTCCTTTGCCCGGTCAGTGCAGTCCGCGGTGGAATGCGATTCAGGCCCCATTGTGGATACGTGCGTTGTTGTATTCATCCTGGTTGACGGGATCCGTGTTTGGTCAAGCTCTGGTAAGCATTACCATGTTAGTCTGTTAACTGACACACACGCACAATATATATATATATATATATTCCTCGCAATAACCTCATTTGCAAATTTGTAAATTTGTTTGGATTGCCCTTTACGATCGGTTCATTGATGAATTCATATTGTGATTCGATGTAGGTGGGTTAAATGCTACTAAATGCAACAAACGTAACTTAAGCGACCTTATAGAGCGTTTTTCAGTAAGCAGCATATGAATGACCTAACATAATTTCCTTGGAAGCACACAACCGGTTTAACGGTGCTTGCCACTCGTCACGTATGCGTATCCGGTAATCTTTTGTGATGAAAAACAATATACTTCCTGGGTACAAGTATATGAATGAGCGGCAAGAACCGCGAAACCGGTCGTGTTCTTCTAGGGAAATTTTATCCACTCATTCACATACTACTGATTGTAAAATATTTAATGAAGACGCTAAATTTACGTTTGTTACGGTTAGTAGCTTCTAACCCATCTACAAAACATCGAATTATAGTATTGACTCAATAATGGACTGGTTCTGAAAAAGCTGTTCCAAACAAATTTACCTGGTGTTGCCGATGAGGTTATGACGAAAATATTTTGGGTACCGGTATGTGAATGAAGTTACAAAAGATTACCGGTTATACATGCCTGACGGCGACAAAAACCGCCGTGTGCTTCCATGGAAAATGGACGCCCAAAACCCATTCACTTGACCAACTAATCGATAGTGAAACCCAACTAGGTGGCAACAGCTGTCCAGTGCTTCCTAGCTTTTCAGTTCCCAATTAATCCATTCGTGCATAATATTTTACACTAACCCAGTTATTGCATGTTTTCCGTTTGGTCTTGACTTCAGTAATCACTGTATTAATTACCCTTTTGGCATTCTCATTGTTTGAAGTGAATTGAGATTTTTGAATGACCCTATCATTTTGGTGCACATTTTCTTATTCGACTTGCTTTATTGTGGAATAAGGTCAGTTGTATCCAATTCACAGTAGCGTAGCATGAGTGTCCTACATTAACTTCCGTGGCCACGGTTTAACCTATGAAAGTAAAACATTTAAAGGACGAGTGCCCTAAAGGACCATGTGAATTGAGCGATGTAGATTGTCAAATTCAGGATCCATACTGAAAAACGTTCATTTTAGAAAATCATGCCAATGTTAAACATTGGCATAATTTGTCATAATGTGTGGCATATTTAGTCAGCTCTCTACGATCTTCCAAACGCAGATGTATGGTCACTTTGTCTGAAACCTGTCAAAATACTCTCTTCGTACTTTGACGAGAGGTTGAGAAATCCATGTGTCTGAAGATGATTATCTAGATATCGCAATGAGGCTTGAACACTGCGTTAACCCGGCAACTCTGATGCGATCAACGGGACGAGTTTAAATGATGCTGGAATACTTTGAACTGGTACCCGGACATACTGATTGATACCGAGTTAACCTGACTCAGCGTCAAACACAAGCTGTTCGTGTAAGTAAACTTTCCAAAACGCCTGGCTCAGGATGGACTACCGTGGTTAATTGAAATACAAAATATACCTTTGAAGTGGAGTTAATAATCATGGGTTCGGTGGGAATGCGATATTGAGCCTAGCGCAGAACCGATACAGTGGATGAGCCCATACGATTACGATGCCATTTGGTTAACTATGGCAACAGCGAGCATGTCATCGAAATTTTGCTGCCTAGAAGAAAGACGAACGTGTTCTGATTCAAAAACAAGTTGGTATTGTTTAGTCATCTCTCTCATCACTTTTCGGATGGACCTCACTAATGTAGCACCAGTTTCCGTCACCTATGTTTTTTTCCTGAATCCAATGAACTATTTTTCTCTCACTTTGTTCGTTTCACGCATTTCGTATCATCCCTTGCTTACAATAAACCGTATTTCGCGTGCTGGTTTTCTTTGCCGATCCTGGTCGATGTATCCGCGGGCTTCAGGATCAGCTGGCCGCCACTCCGATTCTCTGCGCAGTGGACGATAGCTTGAACTCTTGGAAGTTGTCAGAGACAGAGCCCAGGCTACGAATACCTCGTGCGCTACGCACCGTGCTTTACATACATCAGTGCCGCCCACGAAGCACGCTGCTCACCCGATACGAACCCTCCCGATTGCTTGAAGCATCTCGTGCCTTGTGGAACGCTGTCGAGACTGCTCTGTCTTCATACGCCCAGGATAAGTCGATTTGGGTTGAGTTTGCCAATGGCGATGTTTGACATAGAGTACTACTGTTACTTTGATTGGCTATCATGATTTTCGAGAGGAACTGCACACGATAAGCCTAAACTGAACAAATATCGGTCCCTGTTTTGGCCCAGTGCACTAATCCACTTGATCGAGAAAAATGTCCTTATTGTTACGACCCCGTTGTGGGTTTTCATCGAGAAAACAGCCGTCCTATTTCTCTTGCACTGTCGGTTTCTCTCTTGCCTCATGAAGACGCAATGGACAACTGCCATTGCCCCGTTCTGGGACGATTGTCTGGCTTAATCGAAGACTGCTAGTCAATGTGTCGGCTGTTTCAGGATCATCGCAAAGCAGACAAACCAGCCACAGATCATGGATTTTAGCGACGACCCCATTGCTAGTTTCTCTTATATTTTCTGTATGCAAACCGAACCAAACTATCGGACAAACGCGAATCGTTTTGTTACTATTCATAATTTCATCAATCTATCAGGTAAAAACTCAACCAATTACAATTATTATCCCGAACAATATTATTTTTACCCATCTATCTTGTTTTAGATAATCGCGGTCATTCACTGGAGCAATTGATCGACCTCCATAGATTACGCTGGTTGGGATATATGCTGCGCATGCCAGTAAATAGGTTGCCGCGTAGTGAAATGTTTGCCGAGGTAGTGGATGGAAAAAGGTCAAGGGCTGTCAAACTAAAACCTCGCACGAGGGTATGAAAACCCTAACCAGGACACTAGGCCACATCGGTCCCGTTAGGTTCCCTCAATGGGGACCCCGAGATCATGGTAACCGGTGGTTAGAGACGCTGAGTGAGATGGCTGAATGTCGCAAACAGTGGCGCTCGTGCATCTACTCAATATTCTTGAAACCACAGTCTATATGAATTCCCTATCTTCCCTTTGACTCTGCTCTCAGTATGCCAATCTTCATTCTGCTCTTTTATCCAATTGGGATCCAAAAGACAGCAACCAAAACCGGCGCACGAAAGTGCATGGTTAATGGTTGTAAAAACGTAGCTAAACTGAACTGTCTTGTTGCGCATCTGAATCATATTATTGTCGCTGTTCTTACCGATGTTTTGGTGTGCGATGAAGAAACTTGAATGCTCACCCGCGAGGGGTTGAAAAACGTCACTATCATTTTTATCCCCACAAAGTAGGTGACTTTTCACGTGACATGCTTACACTGAAATGATCGTATGAAGCGTCTGGCTTGCAACACCGTTTGAGCAGCAGATGAACATGATCTGTGCCATCTCACAATAATTTAGTCATTGAAATACTCAGCGCCTTTTTAGTCACATTGATTCACCTGTCCCTTTGGCCACTTGTGTGTACATGTATGTCACTATTCACTAGTCCTCTGCTTCTTAGTCATAACTTAGTGCTCCGTCGAAGACTCAAGGTAGAATAGACCGAAAATGGTCAATCTTCCCAGAACACATATAGCTATGGTCGATCTGTACCTGTGGTACGCGAACCTAAAATGCTGAGTTCTGAGGAACTGTTCATTTTTGCTTGTTATTGTTTTTTCACTGTTCACCACAAAGTCAACCATCATTTTTGTTCCCCAATGGTGTCGCCCACGGCCTTATGTTCTAACGACGATTGGGGCATCACGCCCAACAGTGGGATGTTAAGCTAAAAATGCGACGGAGAATACATTTGCAGTGACGGTTACCTTTGGAATATTTTGTCTGATGAGTCCGACAGATGAATCATCAAACTTAATTGAAAATGATGCAATTTCACCTCTGTAAGATGATGATTGCCATTCCGATCGATAAGTGGTTTAGAATCCCAATCAAAATGAAGCGAAACAGCAGAAACTCGAAGGTCTTTTTATACAGAAAACAGATACATTCATAAAATCGATTCAAATGTTTGTTAAAAATAGCACACGAAGGACGGAGATTGCATAAATCGATAACACGGGATTCGCCGTTTCCAATGCACAATTACATCTGTCATCAAGTTCCCGGTACACAAAAAACAACAGTTACAGTTTGTGACGAAACTCTCATACAGATCTCCTTTTGTGCTTTCCCAAATATGACCCGGCATAGAGGCGGTTGGTTCAGCCTGGCTTCCAAGTTGAGGCCCAACGTATGTGGATTGTCGTTGCTTAGCCACAATAAGAGATATGGCCCAGAATAGAAGTCAGCGGCGCGAATGTTGTACGGTCTGCCTGTTCAAATTCCGTGCCCCTTAAAAAGAATGACAACATATCAAAAAGTGCAAGGTGAAATCAAACAATTGTTCTTCTTGTTATCTACAGTTATCCAGTGTAGTTACTTAACCTCCATTTCACTCTGCTGTGTATCCCAATCCCCCACCCCCTATTATTTTCATTATTGTTGTGGCGTTGGTACCATGCTGGCCCACAAGACGGTGATCACTATGTTTATTGTTATATTGCCCAAACAAAATGATAACTCTATGGTAATCTCAGATATGACCCCACATGTGACCGATTCTTCCGTCCATTAAGATTCATTTTCTCTACGAGGATTCCGTTGTTTTTTATTTCAGTTAACCAATGATGCCTGCAAATATCCATAGGCAACATTGAATTCTCGTGTAAACCACGTTCGAGTGCAACATCTTGGTTTTCGTTTTCATCTGTATCAAAGTTTCCGAAACCCTTTGTTATCTCTCTGTTCATCGAGCTGCGAGGTTGAGTCGTCAAACACTATCTTAGGTTGACTTCTTCACTGTTTGCGGATTTGTTGTTTCATCCCTATTCGTTTACTGAGAGAACAGCTCGAAAAAGTGCACAAATAGGGTGTTCCCATGTGACCCCTTCTATAGATAAGCGCGACTCCCTGTATCACGCCGTCGCAAAGCGGTTGGCAACATTACTGGAATCACTAAGACTTGCAATTTGCAGACGCCTTTAATATTGTAGAAACTTTGAAGGACCTAAACCCCGAGAGTGAAAGGATGATGTCATTTTACCTTACCTCGGTGCTCACAAATTTGCCAATAAGTGACAATCACATGCGGATTTATTCAAGAGGACAACATCGATGCAGAAATTCTTTTGGATGAGCAGAAATATTTGTTATTCGAATGCATGTGTAATGTCTAGTTTCAATTCAGTGGTGAGTCACATCGTCAGCGGGATAGGGTTGCAACGGGGTTACCATTAGGACCATTGTTCGCTGATACCGTTATGGCCAAACTTGAGAACGATTGTATTGATTCCTCTATAAGACACTGTACCTTATATAGACGATACGTTGACGTAACTGATGCATATAAAGACATAAATCGGCTGTTTGAGGAATTTAATGGCCATCCAAATGTACACATTAGCATTTCCAGATGTATCTGTATGACGCCTCAGCGATAAAGCCATCCAGTTATCGATCCGTAGGAAAGCAACGTGGGGTGGAGAGTGTATTCATCTTCGCAGTTTTGCCCCCTTCAAAGAAAAATAACTCTCATTCGTTTTTCGGTTAATAGAGTGAAGAAAACATTGAAGACGAACACCATTCTCACGTAGTGTTTTTGTACACAATTGCTACCAAGAACAATTTATCGTTAAGGCAATGCTAGAACACGAGGAACGGCTAAAGGAAATAGGATTAATTAATTGTTTGTGCATCTGCCGTTCAGGGGAGATACGGAGGCGGAAATTATAAAAAGAGAAGCTCTGGAATATAGTGAGCAAAACGTTCCATGCCGCCCAAATAAAGGCACTAGTCACATCTAAACCGATTGTGTTTCCGACTGAAGGATATGGTGCCGGATTCTGTAGCCTCATTCTGTGTGTACCTATTCAGCTGTTCCTGTGGGACTAAGTACGTTGGTCACACGACCAAGAGCTTATCCAATCACGATCATAAACACCACGCGTTTTGAATGAGGGCGAGAATCATTAGGACAATAACGAGCGCAGTGTGTTTGCACCTCGTTCAGTCGAGTCATTCAGTGAACGCGTTTCAAGTGATCTCCAGAGGTTGCTATAGACAATCAGGCATCGTATTTTAGCGGCAGCCGAGGCCGTAAGCATTCGAGTTCGCATTCCTCCATTGTGTGCAACCACTGGAACTTCGGACATTGTAACCAACCTCACACGAACATGAACCATTTGGACTGGAATTGCTCATCGTTCTTGTTCTTGATTTTGCTCATATAAATATAACTCCTGTTACGTAATGGGAGCTTACGAATAACTGGAAAAGATCTTGTTCGCCACACTGTTGTTGGTTTTGTTCGCAATGTGTTCTGTGTAACTATTCATTTTGTGTCAAAAAATGTTTGGGTCATCAGTGTTACTCACGATGACATTATAATTGTCACAACAACAACAAGGAAGTCAAATCGCTAATCGCATATGCAAATACGTCATCCAGTTCCTTACAGTTTTCTAGCGTAAAACAACTATCTTAGTACAGTTTCTGTGCACATGGTTTTTCAGGTTCACTACTATTCCATCTACGGGGGATTTTTGTAACCTAGTGTTTCGACTACTCGTAAAACATGCTGTATTCCTTACTTGTAAGATATCAAAAATAACCTTCCTTGTTGCAGCAGTCGGGCATTGTGAGAAATCCTTGACAATGGAATTGTGGTATTGATTTTGTGAAGAAAAGGAGCAACCCGCAGTAATAGATCTATAAAATTTAACCTTGCGGAGCAACTGCGGTTGTTGCCGCGACACTAGCTATTCTGTTTTGGGTGCCTTAAATTATTGATACAGTCAATGTCGTTTACGTTCCTGCACATGGTTGTTTTCTTTAAATCGTCAGATGCAAGTTAGTCCGCACAAAATTGGATATATCAGGTTTGCTTGAAAAAAGTTAGACCAACCGATACTGTCGTCCAACTAAAAGGTGGTCAAGAGTTTAAGCTACACCCAAACTAGATGAAACGATCCTGCTTTCTAAAGTATTCTATAGCAGATGACTTTGAAGTAGAACTGATCGAATTCAGTCGATCAATAAGGAAACAAGCAGCACACCGAGAAAACGCATTTACTGTACAAGTGTACGAACTGGGTGGATGCC